GCATATACTCACAATAAAGATTTTTTAGATTTCATTTATGGCTCTGCTGGACATTATTATCCATATTTCGATTTCTGTAGTCATAAATTGTGAGAAGAGGCCAATTATCTATGATCTTCCCCAGATAAGAAACAAATAAAGATATTAGAAACATTACATGCTCCTGCAGGAATGTCACTATATTGCTAACTATCATGAGTGAAACTAAGGCAATGTCCATCTTTCAGTTGCAAGTTTTTAAACTTCTACTGGATTTAAACAGAATTGCGCTTTACCCTCTTGGAAATTGAAAATTTTTTGGCGTTCTTAATCTACAATTCAAAATTGTGGACAAGCACTAAGAGTAGATGAGATGAAATTTCCTGTTCCAAGCGGCCTCCAGCCTATGACCACAGCAATTGCAAGCAGGAAAGTGTCTGCAATATAACAAGACCAAAACGACAACAGGCTCCTACTATGTTTCCTACTCTGCTTATCTGTTGTACCGTATCGTACAGTACTTGCACTTGTGGCTGTGACGATTCAACGAATGCAACCAAAATGCTGAAGCATTGCTTCTTCTCCCGAAGTCCTTCTCATTCCCTTTGAAAACTGAACAGAGAAGTATTAGGCTTTTTTCACTTTTTAAAGTTGATATTTTTGTTCACAACAAATCAGTTGCATTGACAAAAGATGTTTGTAGTGGTGTATTTCTTTCCTAGGTTCATGTATCGAGTCTTGGACTTTAACTAATTGCAAGCTGGTGGCTCGACTTGAAATCTAACTATTTATTTTTTAACTTATTAGCTTTTATACCGTCGTAGATCTAGGTCTACAGTTGTAGTTTCTTGGTTTGATAAAGTGAAAGCAAGGTCCTCGTCCATCGAGTATTTTATCCCGAGCCGTTGACACTCGACACCATGTCATGTAGTAGTCTAGTGTCTACTAAATAGTTTTCTTGTAAAGCCAATTATAGTTTTTAAATCCTTGAGATTCTTGAAATACTAAGAAAAATAAACGTACAGTTGTCAACAGCTCGCATAAATGTTGTATAAATGTTGACAACGTATCATGTAGTAGTTAACATTTGTCTTTTTGTCAACAGCTCGCATAAATGTTGTATA